GAAAAGTTAAGGGTGTGAATAGGGAGGAAAAATTCCGGAAGGTGTTGACCGTGGAAAACAATTAAGTGTAGGGTGCAAATAGGGGCTTTGGCCATCTTTGAAATCAAAGTGAACATTGACTTTAATGATATATTTACATTGAAAAAAATAAATGTTATCAATCCTAACGTTTTGATTTGATAAAAAAAAAAAAAAATTTACCCCTAGATTCTCCTACTTCATTTTTTTTTAAAACCAAATATATCTTAAATTATTAATGATTATTTATAAAAATAGATAAGTACGATCAATTAAATGTTAAATTATGTTAAATTATGTTAAATTATAAAAATAAAATTATTAAACAAATAAAAGTTATTATTATTCAATCCCTTATAATTTCAATTGCATAATATTTTTTTTATTTTCATATTACATTTATTTATTTTAGTGGTAAATAAACATAAGATAAGAGTACAACGCGAAAGTTTTTTTCAAAAGAAAAAAACAGAAGGGACACCAAGCATGCATGGAAGTATCTCTAGATATTGATGGTCCCATAAAGATGGTTGATACTCGCCGAATTTTTGCCGCTGTTAACACCTCCGGCACCCAACCCTATATTGATATTCCCATGTGCATTTGGGGGCACTTTGGTTTCACCTTTGCCCCAGTAATAGTTAGATCCAGAACCTGGCTCTAAATTGATACTCCCATTTGAGAGCCCTGCCGGCTTTCCGCCGTAATTGACCCCTCCGGTGACATCTTGAGTTATTGTCATCCCAACCCTCCCACAATTCCAGGGTCCGGTACCGGGACCTCTAGTGAAATTTGGGTGAATTAGAGGAACTGGAGGAACTGGGGGAGTTGGGGGCGTCATTGTCATATAACATCCACCGTGCATGAACCAGGGGGCTCCGTTGCCATGGAGGTTTCCAGGCCTGGGCGTCTCACCTTGGCCCCAGAACCATGGGGCTTCGACGGCATAACCAGCATTGATATTCCCGTTTGGGGGCACTCTCATGTCAGTGTCATCTCTGCCGAAGTGGGCTCCTCCTCCAGATCCGTTGCTAAAGCTAGAAGAGTGTTTCTTCTTCTTCCCTTTTTGGGCAGCTGATGGCTGTATATTTGGATGGTCTCCCACATTGAAGGATTGGAAAAACGCACTGAAATGATCCATGGAGCTAGAAACAGGTTTATTTGTTTTACTCATCCTCTCTGCCATGTTGTGTTCTTATTTATGGAGGTAGAAACTGGAATCTGCACTCTATTTTAATGTAATTCTTTAATGTTATTTTCATCATGAAAGTGCAAAAGAACTCTTTCTACTTGTAAATTTTGATTCCTCACGTTTGATTCCAAGTTATATTGATTAGGATTTAAGGGAAGAAACGAGAAGAAAACAACAAATTTGATTCTTAGCTATGTTAATTTAAATTTAGTCGAAGAAGAGAGCCCCAAGTAGAGAGAAAGGCAATTGTGTGGTCCTTTTGTTCTGTATTCTAAGTAGTATTCTGCAATTACCAATTCAATACTAGAATTCCATTTTTATGCGAGGTTTCTAGCCAGGGAAGGCTATATAAAAAATTGTATTACACAATCTTACAAAGATTAGATGCCATTTTTAATAGTAAAGTATTCAAGCATGGTGCATGGCATCAAGCAGTAGAGAATTAGAAAGTATTACGTGAACTTATTTTGTGGGGAAGCATTAATGATGCAAATGCCCACTGGTTCCAATGGAAGCACATATTGAAGTTGAAACACAATAGTTGACTTTGTTTTCGTTCTCTTTTAGAATTTAATTTGGCAATGTTAGCAAAATAAGGATGGAGACTTATGATTAATCTTGGTTAATTAGATAGCACATAGCAGGTTCTAAAGGTATGCTATTTTCATTGAATCCAACGACGGTTCTAAACTTCTAGTCAAACTCGATCTTGTTAGGAGTAAAAAACATCGGAGTAATTCTCTTCCCCTTTGAAAGGATGCAGGAAAAATGGAATTATGAGAGAGATAAAATGTTGAAGGACTCATGGTTATCCTATTCATCAACTTTTCAAGTTTTACAATGAGCAAACTTTTGATATAAAGTTGGTGGATAAGTTGATTGATGAATATCACCACTAATGATGCCAGGAGGAGGTTGCAGATACTAATTTCGTCCTAAATTGGGTACAACTCACAATTCTATTCCGCTCAATATTAGGGTGATGTTATTGACTTTTGGTGTTGGTATCTCTCAAAGCTGGGTTCTTACATCTTACAAATGTACATATCCCTTGGGGAAATGGTTTTAAGGCAAATATCCAGTTTCGTTTAGCTGTTTTTATTGGGTCACTCCTATTTATTAAATTGATTGGATTAATTGTATGCTGATTTCCTCATCAGTATGCTATTATTTCCTAAATAATGGGTTTTTTTTTATGTAATCAATGCTGAGAAAGAAGTAACGAGAAGAAAAAGAAAATCCTTTTCCTAACCAGAGAAGTAGGTCCTTTGGTCACCCCTGATTTTGATCGCACCACACCAAAAAAACCTTCTATGTTCTTGCCATGAATGTTTAATTACACTGATTTTCACACTTGACTATTTTGATCACATTTTATCTTCAAAAATGTTTTACCCGTCCAAAATTATCAAAATTCACATAGTTGGTTCATTCCGTTTAGGATTAAAGGAACCATTTTTCCAAATTAGTTCAAATATTAGTTCAGAGTCTTTGGAGTAATATGTGAAGACAATAATGAATATAGGTATTGTGATGAAAGGATTTCTTGTGTTGGCAGTCTCCTTTTAGTTAATAACAACATGGTGGTGGACCAACGAAATTTGTAAGAATTTTTAAGAACTCGAAGGTGTCTGGTTATATGTGAGGACAATAATAAGTATATAAATATTAAGATGAAAGGATTTCATGTCTTGACAGCCTTCTATAAGTTAATAACAAAGGTAGTGGACCAACACAATTAGCAAGAATCTCTAAAAGTTCAAAAGAAATTGTGGTCACTGAAAAACCTCTAAGGAATAGGTGAAAAAATAATATTATTGAAGGAATCTAAATAATAGAATTATATGTATCACCAAAGCAATACTGTTAAGAGCGAGACGCATCTCCTAGTAATTAATATTAAAGATGGTTGTGGATCAACACAATTCACAGAAATCCTTAAAAGCTCTAAGGAGATAGTGGTGTTTGAAAATGCTCCAAATAATAGCATTATTTTTGAGAGAGAGTCACATGAGCAGAGAATATTGCAAGATGTTGTTCTTGACTACATAAGGCAAACTCTCATTTAACTACAATAAAAGAAAAGCTCAAGTATTCCAACGTTAAGCATTTCCCCGAGCACTCAACCTTGTCTGACTTTGCATCTGAGCTGTTAATTTTATTTGCGCCTTTAAACAAGTTCAGTGATCAAAAAAAGGTGGGCAACCATGACCGCCCGGTCCGACCCATGCCTTTTTTTTAACCCACATTGCTGTTGCCATAGCTGTTCAAATGCGAAGTGCATCTAGCGCTATTCAGAAGTTTGAGTATAAATTTTTTAATCTAAAAAATTATAAAAAAAAAAAAAGGAAAAAAAAAAAAGGGAGAAAAACCAATGAGGAATTGAGTGCTCGTGCATTCAAATTCAAGCTAAGCGCATATACCACTTTCCATGGTGGGTTTGGATTTGCTTAGGAGTGTTGTGCTTCTAACTATTGATTTTGGGTTTTGCGCTTCTCTGGAAAATTGTGAGATTGGACGAGGAAAAAACTGAACTTGTGCGGCACAAAAGAACAAGCTTGTTAAGGCGGGTGCCGGGGGTTTTTTCTACTTATGCCCTCCAATGCTTAAGTCAAATCAGATTTCAGTGAGCTAGGTTTTGGGTGGAAGAAACTAAGAAAGGAAAAAAGTTTGAAATTTGAACTCTGCTTTGAGTTTTCTACAAGTCCCACTTATATATTGTTAAGGTGACATCTAATTAGTAAGTAAAAACTTGTTAACATTGTACATGTGTTGAGGTTTATCAAGTTCAATAACCAATGGAAAGGTGTTACGTTAAACATTTTAGATGTGACTCACTTGTTGAGGAATAATAGTCTCTTTGTAGGAGTAGCTAACATGGATGCATTTCACATTCGAGTGCGGACTTGTCTTAACATATAATGACACCTACATGTACCTTATTTTTTTTTGTCTTTATTCACCAAGTCCTAATCTTAAGTGAGCAACTCAAGGCCGTCAGACATTACATAGAATCCATTTTAAAAGGCTTAGCTATCTAACTTTTAGGTGTATCCTCCTAAGATCACAAGAGGTAAAACTAATTCAATTCAATCTATTCCCTTTTTAGGCCTTCTGTTAGTCATGCCTAAGGTGATATCAATTACATTTTAGCTATAACACAAATCCACATGAACCACTATAATCATGACATATGTAGGTTGCATATTTGATGATATCAATAGTAGTTGTGTTTTTTTTTTTTTGTGTTTTTTTGTTATCTCAAAAATATATAAATCATTAATTAGAATATGAATTAAAATTCATAAAAGTATATAAAATACTAATTAAAAATAATAAACTTCTATTTTTAAATAAGATATTTTGTGAAAAATTATGTGTAAAACATTCCCAAATGAATAGTGAGTCAGTTTAGTCACCTACTAAGTAAAAAAAGGGTTATTTTATTTTATTTTATTTTATTTTATGTTGTGGCTTTAAGTGTGTAATTATTGATTTTTTAACATTAACTATTATTCTCTTTGTCTCAAAATAATTTTCATTTTTTACATTCTTCTTAAAATTAAAGATGTGGAGGCAATATTTTTATTTATCTATAATATCTTTAAAAAAAACTAAAAGCTAAAAAAGAATTTTTGGGATTAGATAATTAATTAAAGTGAATAGATAATGATAGAATTAAAGTAGAAAAATTATTCATATACCTTAAAAAATAAAAAAGAGCACAATTATTTTTGCATAGATAAAAAAATAATAGTTATTTTCCAACAAAAAGAATATTAAAAAAATAAAAGTTAACATTTATTTAATTAATTTTTTTATTAAAATAATCTAGATGATATTGAAGTTTCATTTGACAACACTTAGCAATGCTTTACCTTTTGATTTTTATGTCTTTTTATTATTTTAAAAATATATAAAATATTAATTAAAATAAATATTAAATATATAAAATATATTTTATATATTTTTAATGTGCTAAAAGACTAAAAACCTATAGCTGCAATTATACATCATCAGCTTTGTTAAACTAAACCTAATGATAAAATTAATGTTAATTTATATATATTTTTTGAGAAATTTAATTTTTTAATATTTTTTAATACTAATTTATATTTAAAAAGTGCAATATTGTACCTTACGTCGGAAAAACTCAAAGAAAATTAATATTGGCTAAGGCCCAAGCTTTTTGTTTCACAGTCACAGGCTCACAGCCTCGTTCGGATCCGACCTGAATACAGGAGAGAACCTGATTCTGCAACTTTGGATGGCCTTATTGCTGACACCACCTGCCATTTTCTCTCTCGCAAAGCTCTCCTCAAAGTCCTCCAGAATGGCTCTAAACCGAACTTCCTCCAATCCTCCGAATTTCACCACAGATGGGAAAAGGAAGCTCCCCATATTGCTCTTTGACATCATGGACACCGTTGTTCGTGACCCTTTTTACCAGGACGTTCCTGCCTTCTTTGGGTACCAATTCTTACCCTTTGCTCCACCTCGATTCTATTCTACCTGTTTAATTAGTTTCTATTGACTTCAACTGTTGTGGGTTTCTAGAGCTCAATTTGCTTGGCAATGTCAAAACTTGTTATGAAAAATGGTATCAATTCTCCGTTTTGAATTCTGGGAAATGCAAAATTCTGCATTTTTATTGTCTGATAAGGGAAAAGTAAGGATCATTACTGAACCAAGAAAATATTGGTATAATGGATTCTTGGGTTTTTGTGCTTCATGTGTCTAGAATTGGGTATAACATTCAATTGCCAGGACTAGAATTGGAATCTACACCCTTCCATTCCAAGTCTTTCTATATTCTGTTTGAAGGGTAACACTACAGAATCAGTGGCATTAAATAAATCTTGAACAGCCATACTGGATGGGGTTAGTTTTCAATTTCATTTTTCTAAAAAAATGATGTGAGAATTTGTCATATTTTTGGTTTTACTTTAGTAGGAGAAAAATATCTTCTTTTTTACAGTTTAGGAGAAATTAATTCTTGAGAATCATAATTAAAATGGTTAATTGATATGGACATGAGGACTAAAATAGTTAGGGATGAGGGATACTCTTTTTCGTTACTGGAAATCAATTTCCCCTTACGGGAGGAAGTTGATTTTTGGAAAATGAAAAGAATGCAAAACTATACTCTTTTCCAATCTCTAAGTATTTTACGTCTCATATAACATTAATGGGGCACCTAAGCTATAATTCCTACTTAGGCATTTTCCACAAACCAAATGGAGGGTTAGTTTTCATTATTTTTCTAAAATTTTTATCATGTTTCATACAGTTAAAGTGAAATTTTGTCAGAATGTCTTTGAAGGAACTAATAGAATGCAAGCACCCGACAGCATGGATGGAGTTTGAAAATGGGATGATTAATGAGGTACACTTAAAACTATTTTGAACATCTTTTGTTTCACCTAGCTAATGTATCAATATGAGTGGAAGTTCAATTTTATGGGATTTTTCAAACTATATTTAATATTATTTATTTTTTCAATACCGCTTTTCATATTGCAGTATTAGGCTGGAGTTTCTTTTTCTGTTTCTTCAGTAGATTGCTGCTGCTTTTTTCAAAAGGAAGTTATGCTTCCTGTTAAATAACATTTAGCAGTTTACTCATTGGTATAGTGGTTAACTTGCTTTGTCTCTTCTAGATAACAAGACTACTTGTTGACTAGGCCCAGTTTTCCTTTTTTTTTTCATATATTGAACCTAAAGAGGTGGTAATAAACAAAACAGTTGTTATAACCTGTAATTTCTTGTCCTCCAAGAAGGATTTCTTAATCATTCTGGATGCAACTTTTTCATTTATAT